ATGAGAAATGGATATATTTTGAGAATCCTAAATGCAAGAAATCGTGGGTTGATCCAGGCAAACCATCAACATCTTTCCCAAGACCAAATCGCTTTGGACGGAAGACAATGCTGTGCGTTTGGTGGGATCAGCAGGGTATTGTCTACTATGAGCTGTTGAAACCTGGTGAAACTGTCAATGCTCACCGCTACCACCAACAACTGATCAAATTGCACTGTGCTCTGCGTGAAAAAAGGCCAGATTATCAGCAAAGACACGACAAGCTGATTTTCCTCCACGACAATGCACCATTGCATGTGTCAACATTGGTCTGAAACTACTTGAAGACACTCAACTGGAAGGTGCTACCCCATCCCGCTTATTCACCAGACCTGGCCCCTTCCGACTATCACCTCTTTTCATTGATGGGCCACGCGCTTGCTGAGCGGCACTTCGATTCTTACGAAGACGTCTGAAAATGGCTTGATGAGTGGTTTGCCTCAAAAGAGAAGAAATTTTTTTGGCATGGTATCCACACTTTGCCCGAGAGATGGAACAAATGTGTCACTAGTGAGGGAAAGTACTTTGAATAAATTTGTTTTTGCTTTCTAAGAAAAAAATGTGTGTTTTTCTGACTAAAAAACAGCGGATTTAAGCTTATACACCTATGTAAACTTTATCAGTTCAATTCCATTAGAATTTTATACCATAAAATTCAAGCACATACAGCCATGGGCATCCCCTTTATCAAAAATTCTCAAGCCCATGCATGACATAAATAAATGCAATTAAACCCTTCCTACACTAAACTTTTCATGAACTTTATTAAAGAAAAAAATTCTCTTGTCTTAATGACGTGTTAACATCAAAATTTTAGGATTACCTTTTATGATTGTTTTCTTTCAGTTGACTAAATTTCATCACCTTATATTCATAGAATTTTTTGTAATTAATGTTTTTTTATAGATCAACCCCTTGTTTATATTAAATTAGGGTTAACATTCCATAAAAAATACATTGAAACCACTTTTAATTGTGATTTGAATAGTTAACCACTTCTGGCCAAAGTTGAACACCTGCAATATACAGGGTGTCCCCAAAAAATGTATACACACTTTAACAGCTGATAGCTCAATTGATGTTTTTTATTACTAGATTAAAGCCATTAGAATTAATAATGGAAGTCAGACTAAGCTTTGAACAAAGAAAATTCATTCTAAAATGCTACTGGAAGTGTGAAAACAGTTGAAGTACAAAGACGGTTTAGGAGAGAGTGTCAAACAGATCCACCAACACAACATATCATCACTCAAATTAGAAATAAGTTAAAAGATGGGCACCCTCACACTACCATCACAATGTTAGATCCTATCTTGATGAGATCTTGCCAAACAAGTGGGGTTTTGTAGAATACCCTCTGTGTTCACCAGATTTCACACCACTTCATTTTTTTATGGGGATATTTAAAACACAAAGTTTATGCTAAGAAACCTGCAACAGTTACTGAATTGTGACCAGCCATTGAACAAGAATGCACACTTATATCAAACAAAATGTATTGTGATGTTTGTGATTCCATTGCTTAGCATTGTCAGCAGTGCCTGGAACAGAATGGATATCAGTTTGAAACAGGCATTGACAAAACAATTAAATAATGTCTGTAGATTCTATTACATTTTGAAAATAAAATGTATTTTTAATAAACACCAACTTTATAATTATTTAAAGTGTGTATACATTTTTTGGGACATCCTGTATAGGTCATTCATTGCCTCTCTGAAGGCAGCTATTTTTAGAATGTTTCCAACCATCTCATTTTAAAAATTATTTTAAATTTTGGTGGTCATATATAATAATTATTAACTGCGATATGTTTGGTTTGACTTCAGCTGTTAACAATGGAAAAATGTAAAGGCATCCATGGGTTTTGGCCTGGCCCACAATGGGGGCAACCAGGTAGTGAGAATTGGAGCCCGATATATCCGGAATAAACCCAAAATTCCCAGTGTTTTGGCCATCTGAATTCATTCCTGTATTCTGTAGAGCAATAGGCTGACACTTAACTGTCTAAGCCATCTGGCTATCATAATTCATCAGTTAAATGTCAATAGTATTAGTCAAAAATGACTATGGTGCAATATAGTAAACTTTTTCTTCAATAAAGAAAATGTTTAGAGTGTTTACAGCAACATACAATTTTTGTTTATATTATCCATGTAGACCTTGTTTATAAATAGCACTTATTATACTGATGTAGTTTCAAATTAGAAAAAGGAGGAAAATAACTCAAAATATCTTTATTTTCCTTTGAAAATGTGAAGCCTTGAGCTTACATGTTAAAAGTTTACATGTTAAAAGCTTACATGTTATAAGTGTCAAATCAAGGGATTGGGCTTTGATTCTAACGCTCATATAAACTGGAAGTAAAACCTAAATAAAATCAGGAAATAATAAAATAATTAATCAGGAGAAAAAACAAAGTTTTTATATAAAAAGTTTAGTAAGTTTAAATAACCTTAAAAGGAGATATAGTGCTGGGATTATGTGGCAGACTTATGAGAATTTGAAACAATTAAATACAAGCAGGTCAGTTCATTTCCCTTGATTGGATTAAAACATAGTGTCGAATTAAACCTTTGGTAGCCCAAAATGGTCTGTTATCTGCCTAGATACAGGAAACCGACCAATCAAAAAGCTAGAGATCCGAGAAAAAGAATCTTTTAAAAACCTGGATTTCAAGTACAAAGGCAGACTTTTCCTAGCTTCCAACTGTGAAGTTATCTGACCAGATTTTCTCTGCCTCCCTGTGAAGTTATCTGCCTTGTCTTCATTGTTCTACCTTCGGACTCTTCATCCTGCCTTGGACTGTTCCAGTTCTCAATGTTCATCACCAAACTTCCCGACACCCATAGAAGCATCTCGACTGACCGCCCTGGGGCTATCAACTCTACAGTCCAGCTCTTTCAGTGGATGAGATGCACTATAGATTGTAAGACTTAACATAAATAAATGGGTTTATTTGTCAGTCACTGCAGCTTCCTGCCTCACTTTCCTTCACCCATATACGATCCTGACATTTGGATATTCCCAATTAGGCAACCTCATAAAAATAAAGATATTTTGTCTTATTTTAACTAGTTTTAGTTAACTTGTCTTAGTTTAACTAAGTTTTCCTGCTTTTGCTAATTCGAAACTACACCAGTATAATCAGTTCTATTTATAAACAAGGTCTACGTGGATAATATATAAACAAAAATTGAAATATTTAAGGATAGAGGCATGAAGAATTAATACTTTAATGTAAAATTTTATATACCTTTTCATCTGTTTTCATTTGTCTGAAATGAAGGTGTGTCTTATATTCACAATTCAAAACAACAATCAGAAGTCATATAAGAGAATTGATATGATGAATAATAGAAAGTAATAGAAATTTTTGACCACACTGCTCAATAGTCACATTAGTTCAAATAATCTTAACTGATATGTGCTTAATTTAAACTCCTTTATAATATTTAAAATTCTTTTAAAATGACATTCTGAAGATGCATTGAAAGGAAATAAATTGTATATACAGAAGAGTGTGGAAATATAGCTGCCAATTATTATATGTTTTATGACATTTGTATTGGTTTTTCTAAAATATTATATATAAACATCCCAAAGCCCATTGTATTAATGATTGCTGTAATTATCAATTTCAATAAGAAATAGCACCTAACATCTACATCTATTAGGTTGTTTGGAAAGTAAGTTCGTTTTTTTACCACTAGACAGATTAGTCGTATTTTTCCCGCCATTTTCATTCTAAACTGTATTATCATTATATATTGGGTTGTTCAGAAAGTAAGTTCGTTTTTTCTGTGGAAAAAAACACAATTTTTTTATAGTAAATAAATATTTTATTGAATTATATATCAATCAAATGTTCTCTTTAAGAACATGTGAAACCCATATATCAAGCTTTGAAACAAAACCAATTTGTTTCAAGTAATCGTGAACAGTTCAATCTGACAATTTAATCTCTTAGTGATTTCATGTGTTGTTATTCGGCAGTTTGCTTCAATTTTGTTTTATTTTGTTGCTTTATTGCAAATGAAATTGAAATGAACTGGCAATGAAAACAATCATTGCCAGTTTCATTGTTTTATTTTGTTTCATTTCATTGTTTTATTTTGTTGCTTTATTTTGTTTTCAACTGGATGGCCAGTTGAAAACAAAATAAAGGTATTGATTGAAGCAAACTTCCAAATAACAACACGCGAAATCACTAAGAGATTAAATTTGTCAAATTGAACTGTTTACGATTACTTGAAACAAATTGGTTTTGTTTCAAAGCTTGATATATGGGTTTCACATGTTCTTAAAGAGAAATGCTCTCTTTGGTGGGATTTTAAGGAATTTTTTTTTTTGGAGCTTTTACCAGACAATTTAACAACTGATTTGAAAGTGTACTGCCATCAAGTAAACAAATTGAATAATATCATCAAACAGAAAAGGTGGCCAGAATTGATCAACAAAACAGGTGTAGTGTTTTACCAAGATAATGTTAAATTTCACACAAGTTTGGTAACTCATCAGAAACTGTTATAACTTAGATGGGAGGTGCTATGCACCAACCATATTCGCCAGATTGAGCACACTCAGATTATTACTTGTTCCGGTCTATACAAATTTTTTTTAACTGTAAGACATTTACTTGAAATGACAATGTCAAAAATCACTTGAATCAGTTTTTTTAATCGCCACNTATTTATATTTATATATATTTATATATTTAAGAGTAAATATAAGGTAATTTATATCACTTGACAACACTATAGTAAATTATATTACAGTATATTATCATACAGTAAACAACTTCAAACTTTCTCCCATTTAAAAAACAGTAAACACTACAGAACACCTTTATAACAAAGATATGAAAAAAAAGGGAAGTGCAAGTAACAATTATCACAAATTTTTTCTTTTATCTTGGTTACAATCATGCAATTATGCAAATATCATGCAATCTAAGTGCAAATTGATAGATTGCAATAGTTTTTGAAAATAAAATTTTATTTAAAAAAAAATATAGATAGAGAAAGAGAGCAGAGTGGCAGTTTTATTAACTGCAACAATATAAATATATTATTTATATAATATATATATTTTTGCCAGGCCAAGATGTGCAGCAGCGGTCATGCAAAACGACACTGCTAGTAATTTGTAAAATCAACATACATTTGGACGTAGTGGCCTGTCGAAGGCTTAAGTTCAGATTGAAATTGAGGTTCAAGAAGGTTGGACGAGCTGCAAGGAAAAAAAAACAAAAAAAAAAAAAGAATATTGTCCTTCGTCCATAAATTATCTTAAATTATCTGGCTTTCTTACTTACCAGATATTAATTTTTTCAAAAAAAGAATTTACTCAAAAACTTTAATTTCAAAAATACGATATATAAAATTTATGTTATTAACATTAATAGAAAAAAGAAAGGCATTGAAAGAATAGTAACAGAAGAAAAGTTTAATGTCCTTTTTTAAAATTTTTATAAGTTGATAAATAAAATGCTTTTATAAATCAAAAGAAATTATTTATCCTTGTTAAAAAAAGATAATATAAAAAAACGAACGTACTCAGACCAAAAGAATTGGAGGTTGGACCAGAAATGTTACTAGATGTTTTGTTTTCCTTCACGCTGATGGTGCGTGAAGAGAAACGATCTAAATTATCACAAGATGCATGGAAAGAAAGATCGCACGCTGATTCTGCAAGTCGTTGATCTTCCAATTTAGTAGGTGAAGTTTCTAGTCGTACAATCTGAAAATTTATTCAAATTATTTATAAATGACCTTTTCATTGTAAAAGATACTAATTAGATTATAAATAAATAAATACTAACGTGTGCAATGTTAGGTACACTGGCAGTTTTCCTTAAAGGTCTGCCTTGTGCAGCTAGCAGTTCTTTCATTGCAACTTCCTGTAATAAGAAAGACTTGAAGATATTGTAGACTGAGTTTTTGTTATATTTACAATGAATGAATGTCCATACCTGTCTTAATCTGTCTAATGTAAGTATACTTTCGACGGCAGAGACACCGCGAGTGTATTTTTCTATGTAACTTTCGCCATCGTTGGTGGCTGCATCTTCACCTGATGCAGCCATAAGTGCTAGAGACTCACGATCCTCTGGATCCTCTGATGCCTGAAAAGAAGAAACTTATTTTCTAATACTAGAAAATCTAATTTCTAAAGTAAAATCTGAAAGGATAACTTCATAAAATTGAATTTAAAGTACCGTATATCTGCGCAGATAAGACGAGGTATAAATTTTTGTCAAAGTTTTGTAGTTTTAGCATATATTTCTCCTATAAGACAACTCCCAAACTATCAATGGTCTGTGAATTTAGTTCAGATCAGCAATCATCATCTGGATAATAACACTGTATAGCGTATAAGGAATTATGTCCTATTCGTAAGTTTTTGAAAGAATTTCAAATTTTATTTTCTTGCATCTGGCAGCACTGCCTTGCGATTGTTTCAAACATTCACACTAATTTGGGCATTTGGGTAATGACTTTGACTATTCACAAAAACATCGTATGGGCTATTCTATTTTGTGGACATACCCTACTCTCTACTAGTAAATAATTACGGTATTTCCATTTTTTTTATAATGATTTTAATTTACAAAAATTTCAATCAAATTTTTTTTGTATGTTCTATAAGATAACCCTGGATTTTGGGGGGTCTTATTTATGATTCAACTATCATCTTATCTGCACAGATATATGGTATTTATAACTATCATCATTCCAAAAGAAATTGTTAGTCATTTGGATTCTGAGTGATTATGTGAACATTTAATATATTCAAAGCTACCTTACCTTAGGAATATTTGATACCACTTCATAAGTTACTCCGCAAGTATTCAAAAAGTCCTAAAGTCAAAATTTATTTAAAATAAATAAATAAATAGTTACAATTACTGGCATTTATGTAAAGACAACTGCTTACCTGCCGTCCAATTTTCTTGATGATCCTTTCTGTTATTGATTGTTTTTTATATACATTTATAATAAGTCGCTTACGCAAAATCAAATCCATAGTAGCCGGATGACTCAACCTAACAGATGCTTTTAGAATTAAATAAACGTGTTCATTTTGAGGAGTTACACGGTTGAGATTGATAGAATCATGTATTGAAGAGTCCCAAGCTGCAGTAGCACAAACCTAATCAAACAGTTTGACAGATTATTTGGGGCCACACACATGATAATTCAGAATAATTTTTGGTACTGATACTTACTTCCTTTTCACAATATTTTACTATCGGCAGTGTAAATAATTTACTACCATGCTCTTTTGGCAAAATGGAATTGGCACCAGCTACCCTGATATCATTTTCTCCTGTGATTGGTGCACTCATATCATCGGCTATTTATTTAAAAAAAAATTTTTAATTTTATTAATTTAGTTAATTGAAAACTTTTTAATTTGAATTGATAGACTTACCACTAAGATCCAAAAATATAACTGGAATATGCTTTTCCATTCCTGGTGGTGGTTCCCTATTAAAGTTAAAACATTATTTAGTAACAAAATTAATTAAATGGTAAAGTTGTTGGTAACGTTTTGAAAAATTTGCTAATTTATGCTGTAATATATAATGAAGATGCCCATCCAACAGAGTTGGAATGGGCATCTTCATTCTGTCACAAATATTATCCCATTATTGTATGATATAGGAACTCTTTCTTTGCTGCAATCTGAGTTGGTTCACTAAATCAGTGTTCCGCAACCTTTTTCTTCTTGCGGCACACCTATGACTCAACACGGCACACCAAAATGTTATTTTCCTCAAAAATGTATGATATGATACTATTAATAGAATTACATAATGCCACGAACCTATTATTATTATTAAACAGACCAACATCTGTAAGCAAATTTATTTTACATTTAATTTCTTAGAATACCTAAAAATGTGTGGCTTGTAATAAAGATTAAACAAACATTGTCTTATTTCACAAAACGACTTCCAACAGCTTAACACTTCGTTGAGTAATAACAATCCACGAAAACCTTTTTGTACAAGTGTTATGTCTTTAACTAACTCCACAAACGCTTTCGACCTCCACCAAGGTCTGCTTCAGGTGGTGACTGACTGTGTTTCCTCCTGACCATCGTAACGATGTCGCCAGAGATGTAAATAATCGTGCGTGCCGGGTTTCACCCCTCTGACTGGCCCTGTTTGAATTCCTTGAACAAATACCTTCACGCCTGCGCCAAGATCATTTCACCATCTTTGAAGTTGATGCAGGTGTCCCGACAGTTAGCTTTATGAATCTCCCAGGCCTCCAGGTGCCGGATGTGATCAGTTTGGAATGCTTGTCTGATTAGTCTGGTATTCTGGAAGTCCGCCCATATTTCAGGGTTGGTAACGTAGGTCGATAAGGCGGTGGTGTGCCTGTTATTTTTAATATCTGCTTAATGTTCTCGTATCTGTTTTTGCATTGAGCGGATGGTGGAGCCAATGTAAATCAAGTCCCTGATGGGAATGGAGTATACACCTGGGGCCATGCTGAGATCCATTGCGTTTTTGGCATTGCACAGCAGGTCATAAATCGTGCCGGTTCTCCTGTATGCAATCTTCATGCGGTTACGGCAAGCTATCTCCCTGTATAGGGGGTCTAAATGATGGTTGAACCTGATGATCACGCGCCTAATGTTCTTATCGGGTTGGTGGTTGTCGTCTGGCGGCGTCAGTCTTATTTCATCAGTGCTGCGGCAGTGAATGAAATATAAGCATAAAAAACACAGCAACTGTGATAAAAATATATAAATAAAATTTGAAATTAATAGAATATGTAAAAGTTTATGTCACACCTTCACCTTTGTGACGGCACACCGGTTGCGGAACACTGCACTAAATCTTAGTCAACTCACCCATATGATTACCATTTCATATTCTTTCTTAGAGGACATGTATTGGCACTAAGGAAGAGGTTGAAATGGTAATATAATCCAACTATTCAGAAGATAGGATTAATGAATGATTTGAGGACGTGCATCTGCATTTTAATAACTATTTATTTAAATCACAGTTATTTAAAATGAATGCAGAGGCATGAATAAAACATATATATTTTATATGCAAAATTGCATTAGGTCTTGTGAAAAATTAAATAAATTTAAAATTATTTAATTATAACTAATGATAGAACCTCATGCATTTGCATAGAAGCATATAATATAATATATTTTCTACAAATACATAGTACATAATTTTATTGAAGTGTGTGATAACCCTTCAATAAAATTATATACTATATATTTGTAGAAAGTATATTGTATTATATATAAAGAGGAATTAAAGGCTAATTGATAAATAGAAGCATATGTAAAATGCATATTTGGTACCTTTTTTTTTAATCAATTTTTTTGGCATTTTTAGTATACCAGGTGTATAAGCTCAAATCCGCTGTTTGCTAATAGATGGCGTAAGCGAGCTTATAAGTTACCATGATGACGCCATATTGTTTTTTTGATGATTTTGATGTCTGTCAACATTAATCAGTGCACATCATCAGATATTTCATACAACAACATATATTTTTTTTTGTAATCATGCCTACTTTTGTGCCAGAAAAAGAGCATATGCAGCAAGCTTTGCTTTTCTGCTTTAATTTGAAGAAATCGGCTGCCAAAGCACATCGAATGCTTGTGGAGGCTTATGGAGACAGAGCTTTATCGGAAACCACGTGCAGAGATTGGTTTCGTCAGTTCAAAGATGGAAATTTTTACCTGAGCGACAAGAAGCGTGAAAATCGGCCCAGGAAGGTTGAGGACCATCAACTGCAGGCTCTTTTGGATGAGGACGATACCCAATCGCAAAAAATGCTTGCCGAGCAATTGGGTGTTACTCAACCAGCCATTTCCATGCGTCTACGTGCCATGGGAAAGATTCAGAAGATCGGAAAATGGGTGCCGCATGAATTGAACGATAGGCAGATGGAGCGACGCCAAAACACATGCGAAATCTTGCTCGCCAGACAAAAAAGAAAGTCGTTTCTGCATCGGATTGTAACTGGCGATGAGAAATGGATATATTTTGAGAATCCTAAACGCAAGAAATCGTGGGTTGATCCAGGCAAACCATCAACATCTTTCCCAAGACCAAATCGCTTTGGACGGAAGACAATGCTGTGCGTTTGGTGGGATCAGCAGGGTATTGTCTACTATGAGCTGTTGAAACCTGGTGAAACTGTCAATGCTCACCGCTACCACCAACAACTGATCAAATTGCACTGTGCTCTGCGTGAAAAAAGGCCGGATTATCAGCAAAGACACGACAAGCTGATTTTCCTCCACGACAATGCACCATCGCATGTGTCAACATTGGTCCGAAACTACTTGGAGACACTCAACTGGGAGGTGCTACCCCATCCCGCTTATTCACCAGACCTGGCCCCTTCCGACTATCACCTCTTTTCATTGATGGGCCACGCACTTGCTGAGCGGCACTTCGATTCTTACGAAGACGTCCGAAAATGGCTTGATGAGTGGTTTGCCTCAAAAGAGAAGAAATTTTTTTGGCATGGTATCCACACTTTGCCCGAGAGATGGAACAAATGTGTCACTAGTGAGGGAAAGTACTTTGAATAAATTTGTTTTTGCTTTCTAAGAAAAAAATGTGTGTTTTTCTGACTAAAAAACAGCGGATTTAAGCTTATACACCTATGTAAACTTTATCAGTTCAATTCCATTAGAATTTTATACCATAAAATTCAAGCACATACAGCCATGGGCATCCCCTTTATCAAAAATTCTCAAGCCCATGCATGACATAAATAAATGCAATTAAACCCTTCCTACACTAAACTTTTCATGAACTTTATTAAAGAAAAAAATTCTCTTGTCTTAATGACGTGTTAACATCAAAATTTTAGGATTACCTTTTATGATTGTTTTCTTTCAGTTGACTAAATTTCATCACCTTATATTCATAGAATTTTTTGTAATTAATGTTTTTTTATAGATCAACCCCTTGTTTATATTAAATTAGGGTTAACATTCCATAAAAAATACATTGAAACCACTTTTAATTGTGATTTGAATAGTTAACCACTTCTGGCCAAAGTTGAACACCTGCAATATACAGGGTGTCCCCAAAAAATGTATACACACTTTAACAGCTGATAGCTCAATTGATGTTTTTTATTACTAGATTAAAGCCATTAGAATTAATAATGGAAGTCAGACTAAGCTTTGAACAAAGAAAATTCATTCTAAAATGCTACTGGAAGTGTGAAAACAGTTGAAGTACAAAGACGGTTTAGGAGAGAGTGTCAAACAGATCCACCAACACAACATATCATCACTCAAATTAGAAATAAGTTAAAAGATGGGCACCCTCACACTACCATCACAATGTTAGATCCTATCTTGATGAGATCTTGCCAAACAAGTGGGGTTTTGTAGAATACCCTCTGTGTTCACCAGATTTCACACCACTTCATTTTTTTATGGGGATATTTAAAACACAAAGTTTATGCTAAGAAACCTGCAACAGTTACTGAATTGTGACCAGCCATTGAACAAGAATGCACACTTATATCAAACAAAATGTATTGTGATGTTTGTGATTCCATTGCTTAGCATTGTCAGCAGTGCCTGGAACAGAATGGATATCAGTTTGAAACAGGCATTGACAAAACAATTAAATAATGTCTGTAGATTCTATTACATTTTGAAAATAAAATGTATTTTTAATAAACACCAACTTTATAATTATTTAAAGTGTGTATACATTTTTTGGGACATCCTGTATAGGTCATTCATTGCCTCTCTGAAGGCAGCTATTTTTAGAATGTTTCCAACCATCTCATTTTAAAAATTATTTTAAATTTTGGTGGTCATATATAATAATTATTAACTGCGATATGTTTGGTTTGACTTCAGCTGTTAACAATGGAAAAATGTAAAGGCATCCATGGGTTTTGGCCTGGCCCACAATGGGGGCAACCAGGTAGTGAGAATTGGAGCCCGATATATCCGGAATAAACCCAAAATTCCCAGTGTTTTGGCCATCTGAATTCATTCCTGTATTCTGTAGAGCAATAGGCTGACACTTAACTGTCTAAGCCATCTGGCTATCATAATTCATCAGTTAAATGTCAATAGTATTAGTCAAAAATGACTATGGTGCAATATAGTAAACTTTTTCTTCAATAAAGAAAATGTTTAGAGTGTTTACAGCAACATACAATTTTTGTTTATATTATCCATGTAGACCTTGTTTATAAATAGCACTTATTATACTGATGTAGTTTCAAATTAGAAAAAGGAGGAAAATAACTCAAAATATCTTTATTTTCCTTTGAAAATGTGAAGCCTTGAGCTTACATGTTAAAAGTTTACATGTTAAAAGCTTACATGTTATAAGTGTCAAATCAAGGGATTGGGCTTTGATTCTAACGCTCATATAAACTGGAAGTAAAACCTAAATAAAATCAGGAAATAATAAAATAATTAATCAGGAGAAAAAACAAAGTTTTTATATAAAAAGTTTAGTAAGTTTAAATAACCTTAAAAGGAGATATAGTGCTGGGATTATGTGGCAGACTTATGAGAATTTGAAACAATTAAATACAAGCAGGTCAGTTCATTTCCCTTGATTGGATTAAAACATAGTGTCGAATTAAACCTTTGGTAGCCCAAAATGGTCTGTTATCTGCCTAGATACAGGAAACCGACCAATCAAAAAGCTAGAGATCCGAGAAAAAGAATCTTTTAAAAACCTGGATTTCAAGTACAAAGGCAGACTTTTCCTAGCTTCCAACTGTGAAGTTATCTGACCAGATTTTCTCTGCCTCCCTGTGAAGTTATCTGCCTTGTCTTCATTGTTCTACCTTCGGACTCTTCATCCTGCCTTGGACTGTTCCAGTTCTCAATGTTCATCACCAAACTTCCCGACACCCATAGAAGCATCTCGACTGACCGCCCTGGGGCTATCAACTCTACAGTCCAGCTCTTTCAGTGGATGAGATGCACTATAGATTGTAAGACTTAACATAAATAAATGGGTTTATTTGTCAGTCACTGCAGCTTCCTGCCTCACTTTCCTTCACCCATATACGATCCTGACATTTGGATATTCCCAATTAGGCAACCTCATAAAAATAAAGATATTTTGTCTTATTTTAACTAGTTTTAGTTAACTTGTCTTAGTTTAACTAAGTTTTCCTGCTTTTGCTAATTCGAAACTACACCAGTATAATCAGTTCTATTTATAAACAAGGTCTACGTGGATAATATATAAACAAAAATTGAAATATTTAAGGATAGAGGCATGAAGAATTAATACTTTAATGTAAAATTTTATATACCTTTTCATCTGTTTTCATTTGTCTGAAATGAAGGTGTGTCTTATATTCACAATTCAAAACAACAATCAGAAGTCATATAAGAGAATTGATATGATGAATAATAGAAAGTAATAGAAATTTTTGACCACACTGCTCAATAGTCACATTAGTTCAAATAATCTTAACTGATATGTGCTTAATTTAAACTCCTTTATAATATTTAAAATTCTTTTAAAATGACATTCTGAAGATGCATTGAAAGGAAATAAATTGTATATACAGAAGAGTGTGGAAATATAGCTGCCAATTATTATATGTTTTATGACATTTGTATTGGTTTTTCTAAAATATTATATATAAACATCCCAAAGCCCATTGTATTAATGATTGCTGTAATTATCAATTTCAATAAGAAATAGCACCTAACATCTACATCTATTAGGTTGTTTGGAAAGTAAGTTCGTTTTTTTACCACTAGACAGATTAGTCGTATTTTTCCCGCCATTTTCATTCTAAACTGTATTATCATTATATATTGGGTTGTTCAGAAAGTAAGTTCGTTTTTTCTGTGGAAAAAAACACAATTTTTTTATAGTAAATAAATATTTTATTGAATTATATATCAATCAAATGTTCTCTTTAAGAACATGTGAAACCCATATATCAAGCTTTGAAACAAAACCAATTTGTTTCAAGTAATCGTGAACAGTTCAATCTGACAATTTAATCTCTTAGTGATTTCATGTGTTGTTATTCGGCAGTTTGCTTCAATTTTGTTTTATTTTGTTGCTTTATTGCAAATGAAATTGAAATGAACTGGCAATGAAAACAATCATTGCCAGTTTCATTGTTTTATTTTGTTTCATTTCATTGTTTTATTTTGTTGCTTTATTTTGTTTTCAACTGGATGGCCAGTTGAAAACAAAATAAAGGTATTGATTGAAGCAAACTTCCAAATAACAACACGCGAAATCACTAAGAGATTAAATTTGTCAAATTGAACTGTTTACGATTACTTGAAACAAATTGGTTTTGTTTCAAAGCTTGATATATGGGTTTCACATGTTCTTAAAGAGAAATGCTCTCTTTGGTGGGATTTTAAGGAATTTTTTTTTTTGGAGCTTTTACCAGACAATTTAACAACTGATTTGAAAGTGTACTGCCATCAAGTAAACAAATTGAATAATATCATCAAACAGAAAAGGTGGCCAGAATTGATCAACAAAACAGGTGTAGTGTTTTACCAAGATAATGTTAAATTTCACACAAGTTTGGTAACTCATCAGAAACTGTTATAACTTAGATGGGAGGTGCTATGCACCAACCATATTCGCCAGATTGAGCACACTCAGATTATTACTTGTTCCGGTCTATACAAATTTTTTTTAACTGTAAGACATTTACTTGAAATGACAATGTCAAAAATCACTTGAATCAGTTTTTTTTTTGTAAGCAATGATAAAAACTTTTATGAATGTGAAATCATGCTACTACCAGAAACGATGACAACAGGTATTTGACCAAAATGGTCGATATGTAATTCAATAAAATATTTATTTATTATAAAAATATTGTTTTTTTTTCCATGGAAAAAAAACGAACTTACTTTCTGAACAACCCAATAGTACCAAATTACTTAATTTCTGATATTATTGTAGCAAAAAATATTGCAATTAATTATGGTGATCATTTGGTTTAAAATATTGTTACTTAATAAACCTTAATAACATTAATTATAGTCACCTACAATAATGAGTACCTCCCAACAGCAGCCATTATTTAGAGGTCTGACTATATTTAAAAATTCTCTCTCCATAAAAAAGTCTTAAAATTTAACTCCAAACTCATGGTGCTTCTTAAATCAAGGAAATGCAGTTTATACATGAAAATCAAATAGAAATAGGAATAAAATTAAGAACCTACCAGTCAGCTGGAGCACCAGGTATACCTGAACCAGCAGCAGGAACTAAAACTGCATTCCTTTCTTCCGTAAGAGAAACCCATTGGTCAATTAAACTTTGTTCTCGTTCTACATCTTGGTCTGCCTTTGCTAAAATTATTGTTATTTTTAATTTATTACAAATAATAAACTTATCCTTATAAATATGAATTAAAAATACTTTTCTTATTGATGATTTTCTGTATCTGATCATCAAGATATTCTCTACGTCTCATCAATGCCTCTGACCATTTCTCTCTTAACAGTGTAAGATCCTCTTCCTGATAGGAATCTAATGGCTTTTGCAGTTTGGAACGAACACAGATACATCCAATAGCAACACTGGTAATGGCTTCGCATATGATAGGAAGAGTTCCGGAATTTTGAACTGGTTTGACTCTTACTACTACTCGACGTTGTTGACCCTTGAAAATTTTTTTTTAAAATTAAAACCATTCATTTGAATAACTTTTTAATAACAATATATTCAGTATTACAGCTTACCTGTCTTAACTGAAAGATCCCTCCAGTCAAAATATCAAGTTTAGGAACAACTTCAACAGGTGAATATTCACCTTGTTCGTTCAACTCGTGGATTTCTACCCACAGTTCAATTTTACGAGTTAATTCGGCCCACCTAAAAATAGTAGTTTATAAACTTTAACTTATCAAAAATAAATTTATATTGTATATTTCATTCTATATTCCTACCTGTCGGCTAAGGATCGTGATCTCTGCAACTGAGCATCAACTTCCCAGCCAGGTTTTGAATTGCTGAAACCTGCACTACGATGACCCCAAACTTCAATGGATAAAGCTCCTTCAGCACAGTGTTCAAGAAATTCTTCATTAACATTTACAGTGAATTCCTAAAAGATTTTATTTTCTAATATAAGATAGATTTCACGAAACAAAACAATTATATTAAATATTAAACATTTATTTTTAATTAATTGCTTAATGAGTTAATATATAATATGCAATTAACTTTAAATGATTAAAATGAAATTAAAACATGAACTTATAATTAATAAATAAAAGTAAAGATGGTTATTGTGTAAGTGGAGACCAGTAAACCAAATGCACTTTGACCTAAATGATCCATTAGGCACCCAGAAATTAATTCAGAAGTCTAATCCATTTAAAAAAAGACAGCAGATGGGAAGTTGAGGGATGTCACCAGGGGTAAAAAAAAATCCAGATGAACAAGTCTACCTGAGCAGAGATTGACACACTTACAAATGAGATGCAGAGAAGTCTCCTCAGCAAAACAGAGATCAATAGAGTAAAATCCTGATTAACTGAAATTCTGCATTATCCAAGTATTACTGCAGAAGAATATTTTGACAAATACAGTGCAGTTTGTTCATTGAATCTTGGTCAGGCAATGTATCATACAGGCTTTAGAATTTGCTTTGGCTTGTTCATTCAACTCGTGGATTTCTACCCAGTTTTTGAAAAAGAATTCTGAATTTTGAAAAAAAATTCTGAGCCTCTTAACCTCTATTGTCTTAAGGAAGACAAAAATTTCTACACGGTTTTTTTCCCTCTCTCTTCTCTTCACATCATCAGGATTAATAGAATGCTGGGGTCCTAATTTCTACTACAAGTGGACTTCATATTAACAGGGATGTATAGTACCTTAAGAAAGTCCCATAAGGTCAACCAGCTAAAGGATAAAGAATCAGTTTGCACTAACAAGGTATGAATTAGTGAGGGATTCCTATATATAGTTATATTTAAGAGAAAACTATTATCTATAAAATTTAAATCAATCACAAAAATAAATAAAATATTTAAAACCTAATAATAATATTATTGTAAATAAATATAATAAATAATCTTTGATAAACAATTAAGCATATCATATGATTTCATTAGAAAAACAAAGGGAAATACTGACACTAAAATACATGGAGTTCAGGCTTATTTTAAATTAAATGTTTTTGGGACCAAACCATCCCAACTTCAGATCTACATGTTCAAAAATAGAATGTTGGAAAAGTATTCAAAAAGCTTATGAACATGTAGAATACTTGAATTACAAAACCTTAAGTTTTATATATAATAAATCTCTGTAAATTGGTTAGAACTATAATAGCATTATCAATCCCTACAAGTTTACTATAAATGCACCTTTATAGGTCATTATTTCATCCTACAATATATAATTCATAATTATATGAGAAATTTAGTATGTTTTATAGAATTTTTCTTTTATAACTATAGAGATCTCTTTGTTTACATTTGCTTGGTTGTCTCTAAGAGAAGAGCATTTGCTATAAACATTTGTAGGTGTTCCTGATGATAAATCATGATAACTCAAAAGTGCTTGACTGCTTGTTACTTTTAATTTTTTGTAATTTTTTTATAACTTCTCTCTCTATTGAAACATCACTTTTTATCTACAGGTTTAATTATTAAAGCTAAATTAACTATATTATAAACTATAACTTATTAATAAAAATTTTTAAAATCAGTTAATTCATTATATTCAACAGTAATTAATTTCTAGTTTTGGTATATGATGATAATTGATTTAAGAAAATCTTTTCAGTTCAGTAATTTTTAATTCCAGCAATAAATTTTAAAATAAAAGTTGCTATCCATTAAATAACAACTATAAAGCTTAGACAGAAATATTCAAAATAAAAAATTACCTTAACATGATCAAATTTGAAAGTCATTCGATCTTTTCCTTTGCGTGTGGCTGGATAATCTGGATTCACTATAGGTGGAACTACTATAGAATCAGGAAAACCCCAAAATGTGTATTGACAAAATACAAAATTGGAAAGAGATGGAGGTAATCCAGTTGCAGCCTTGATTGTCACCTAAATACATAGAAAGTTATTTATAATATTTTTAAAAAATATATTAGTTTTTGATATCTTAAAAATGACAACATTGCTGAATTCTTGCTTGCATTTGTAAACATTTCAATTTTTCTAAAGCAAAATTATTTATCACTTGTAATACATTGAAAATCTGTGTCTGTGTCGCTTGGAACTGATATATAGTATTGAATTGTTAGATGATGTCAACTCAAACAATGTAAACCTTATCTTTAATATCAATCAGATCAGTTATTGTCAAGCAAACTACTTTGCCTTAAAAACAAATCAGAAAAGAAATATTTTCTCTACATTTTATAGTAAACTCATTGTGTACCCACCCCTTATATATATATAATGATAAACTAAGATCCAATCTATTATAAAATATTTCCTATTAGAAATTTGATAAAAAAGATTTTCATTTTCCTGACTAAAATAGAAGACAGCAAAAAAATCAAATAGATGAGAAGTGTATCATGTCATTACATTTTTCCACTGATAAACATTATTATTAAAAAAAAAATAATTCTTCAAGTAGAAAAAAGTGACAAAAACAAATCTAGTATATTTTTTAAATTAAAAATTTTAGAATTAAAAACCATTATGAGCAAGCTACAAACTTTGATTACATTCGCTGTTATGATGTGATGTGGCACATGCGCGGATGCAGATCCACATTAATGGTGTGACAGTTGATGTAAATCACTGTTTAACCATTTATATAGGGCAACCCATATGTTGGACAGGTCAAGTGTGGGAGTGTTCCGAGGTTGTTGTGAGGAGAGATTCCCATATAAAAATGAGTTTCTGGTTGCTACAGCATTTGAGTAGTGTTGTTTGAGCCCATAATGGGTTGTAGCTCTGTTTTAGCACTGTTTTTTGTGAGCTCTGTGGTGTGCGTACTCAGTGAGTTTTCCTTCCTGCTAGAATTTTTTGTCATACACATGTCAAAAATTTACCTAACATATTTGTTGCCAGATGAAAATGAAAGAAAACCTTTAGAGCAAATCACTACATTTTAAAGTAGCTTACTAATATTTAAAAAAATACTTAATTAAATGCAATGTTAATTAAATTTGTATGAATGTTCATAAACCCAACAATAATGCCATTTAAAATTCTCTAAATATATTTTCCCTGGATTGAAAAAACATCTAGATGTTTAGAAATTTATATAGATGAAATATTGCACTAACAGATTTTCTTATAAGAGTCTTAATATTATGATACTTATGACATAAAAATGTATTGAATCTAATTTTAACATTTGAAATGCTAAATATATTGTGTTGTAGTCATTTCCAAAAATTTCGAATTTCAATAATTTCAAATTTTAAAGAAGCAAATATAAAATTTCATACCCTAATTGTAATTTGTCTACCAACTACAACATCTTCTCCATTCTCAGATATATCTAAGGATGAACCTCGTATACTGTCACGATCTGTGCTGTAATCTGCACTGGCATCACCAACTCGATCAGAAATTGTTCCTGCTATTCTTCCTATTTCAACATGGAGTCTTCCTGCCACCTGTAATAGAATATAATAAATTTTATTCAAATTAATTTATATGGTTAATTAATTAAATAATGATAATATTCAATTGAACATTCCCTACAGTTTAGAATCTTAATACTTAGCTTTTTAATGATATTTCAAATGGTTAAATTATTTAAAAAGTTACTTACTTCACCCTGTTGACTAATAATTGGCACATGGTAATCTAATTTTACATCATGAAATAATACTTCCAAAAACACATTTCCTACTCCAATGAGATTATGATTTTCTTGTGATTCATAGAAAGGATCTATCATTCCTTTTGGTGTATCTTCATCCTTCAGTTAAAAGTATATTTGTCAATTATAAAAATTTATGAAAAAATTCTATATTTTCTAAATTCTGAAAATTGATTCTTACTTTTGAACATAAGCCTTTCTCTTTACACTCATACATTTCTCTCATATCTATTAATTTGTTTTCTAACTTTTCCATGGACCAAACTTGACTTCCTTTATTCTTACGTTTTACTAAAATGGCTGGCTCACTTACAAATGCTCCTTTCTAAAGATAGTTTATTAAAATTTAACATTTTTTTTTAGATAAAACTGGCAATATATAATTAAAGTTTTGTTATGTTAGTGATTTGAAAAGTTTGTGGCCTGATAATGAAGTATTATATTTTTGTTTTTTATTTTTATTTTTCAATATAATCTCCCTGAACCTCAAGGTACTTTATCCAGTGCTATTCCAGTACCTTTATTCCATCCCAGAAGTGCAGTTCTTCAAGGTAATCATTTATTGCCACTTTCAACTCATAGAACTGATGAAAATTTCTTACCACCAAAGAATTTTTTAAGGTTAAGGAATAGATGAAAGTCAGAACCAAATCAAGCAAATTAAGTGGATGAAAATAAATCATACTTTAGTTCAATGATTTTTGCCATAGAAACAACTCTTGACTAGGGGGGAGTGATTATTTTAAGGAATTTTAATTTAATTATTTAAAAATTTTGGGGTACCCTTGTGACATACTTGCGGCACCCGCTTTGAGAACCACTGTTTTAGATAGTTATACAAATTGATCCACAAAGGGGGCAAATCAAGTGTGAGGGTGTTGCAGGGATTTAATATGCTGGTAAGGAGGGCCTCCCAAATATATACGATATTTCTGTTATTGCAATGTCTTATTATGGCCACCTCACATAATGTATTATTATGTCCCACAACGGGATATGTTGGTGTTGTAATACCATTCTAGCAAGCTCAGTTTCATTCCTGCCTTCCCTGATAGAACACTGATGCTCTGAAATACAACAAGGCAACATTCTAGTTGCCGCGCCAATATAATGGTGCGACCACCCAACATATTTTCTAATGGGATAGAATAAACCCCCGATCTTTCAAGAATGGAAGTAGGATCCCTGTCACTGGACAGCAACCTCCTAAGATTTGGCCGTGGGGAAACTGGCAGAAAAAAACGCTTGTCGCCTAAAAATACGGCAATTACGGAGAGTGATGTGATCACAAAATGGTATCGCGGGAAGGACTATTGTGGATTCTTTCGGGAGATGCAGTGTAGTAGCAGGAAAAAGCAATCTTTTTACTTTATTTAAGATGTAGATAAATTTGGCATTATTGTAGCCCGCCTCATTTACCACACAGCAAATGATATTAAGTTCGATATCGATATCAGCTTGACTGGAAGATAAAAGAAAGGCCCTTCTAATTAAAGGTGCGATTGTCGCATTGATGTAATGTTGCGGCTGGTATGCTGTAGCAGGGATCAGGGGAGGTACACCACTGAACTTGTGGTATACGGAATACATTATGGTATCCCGGGATTTAACAATTTTTAGATCCAAGAATGCTATCTCATTTTCTTTGTCTTTTTCCCAAGTAAAATTAATTGCGGGATAAGTGGTCACGAGACAATCTTTGAAGGCAAGGAAATCTTCATGGGTGTCCTGCCAGGCACTAGCACATCATCAACGTACCTAAGATATAAAAGTGGATACGCTATCGTGCGGGGAAAATTAAAAATCTTAAACTCAATATTCGTCATGACCAACTCTGCCAAGATCGCTGAAAGCGGTGAGCCCATTGGGACTCCCTGCCGCTGTAGATAGACTTTGCCCTTGAATTGGAAATAATTATTTTCAGAAGTAAAGAGTAGAGCTTCACTTAACTCTAAAACCTCTTGCGCTGTAAAGCCCTTTTTGATTAGCAGCGCATTAGCTAGCATAACAGCATCAAACTGCAGTACCGAGGGGTAAAGCGCAACTACATCCAACTTGTAGAAACTATACTCACTTTGTGAAATGTGGCCTAGGACAGATGATATATGGGTCTTGACCATAACGGAGGAAGTGGTAACCAAATAGGAAGGAGGTAGGAGCCCACTTAATAAATTGGCCGGCGCCTTTTCAAGATGGAAGGCAGGGTGGGTCCTTTTATTAACTAGCGGTCACAATGGCCAACCTTCCTTATGTGTTTTTACCTCAAAAAAAAGCCTGGGGCAAGCTAAGTTGGTCGGGGGATCAACATGTCCGGGAAGAACAAAAATAGTTGGACACACCCTGCCTTCCATCTTGAAAAGGTGCCGGTAAATTTATTAAGTGGACTCCTACCTCCTTCCTATTTGGTTACCACTTCCTCCGTTATGGTCAAGACCCATATATCATCTGTCCTAGGCCACATTTCACAAAGTGAGTATAGTTTCTACAAGTTGGATGTAGTTGCGCTTTACCCCTCGGTACTGCAGTTTGATGCTGTTATGCTAGCTAATGCGCTGCTAATCAAAAAGGGCTTTACAGCGCAAGAGGTTTTAGAGTTAAGTGAAGCTCTACTCTTTACTTCTGAAAATAATTATTTCCAATTCAAGGGCAAAGTCTATCTACAGCGGCAGGGAGTCCCAATGGGCTCACCGCTTTCAGCGATCTTGGCAGAGTTGGTCATGACGAATATTGAGTTTAAGATTTTTAATTTTCCCCGCACGATGGCGTATCCACTTTTATATCTTAGGTACGTTGATGATGTGCTAGTGCCTGGCAGGACACCCATGAAGATTTCCTTGCCTTCAAAGATTGTCTCGTGACCACTTATCCCGCAATTAATTTTACTTGGGAAAAAGACAAAGAAAATGAGATAGCATTCTTGGATCTAAAAATTGTTAAATCCCGGGATACCATAATGTATTCCGTATACCACAAGTTCAGTGGTGTACCTCCCCTGATCCCTGCTACAGCATACCAGCCGCAACATTACATCAATGCGACAATCGCACCTTTAATTAGAAGGGCCTTTCTTTTATCTTCCAGTCAAGCTGATATCGATATCGAACTTAATATCATTTGCTGTGTGGTAAATGAGGCGGGCTACAATAATGCCAAATTTATCTACATCTTAAATAAAGTAAAAAGATTGCTTTTTCCTGCTACTACACTGCATCTCCCGAAAGAATCCACAATAGTCCTTCCCGCGATACCATTTTGTGATCACATCACTCTCCGTATTTGCCGTATTTTTAGGCGACAAGCGTTTTTTTCTGCCAGTTTCCCCACGGCCAAATCTTAGGAGGTTGCTGTCCAGTGACAGGGATCCTACTTCCATTCTTGAAAGATCGGGGGTTTATTCTATCCCATTAGAAAATATGTTGGGTGGTCGCACCATTATATTGGCGCGGCAACTAGAATGTTGCCTTGTTGTATTTCAGAGCATCAGTATTCTATCAGGGAAGGCAGGAATGAAACTGAGCTTGCTAGAATGGTATTACAACACCAACATACCCCGTTGTGGGACGAGGTGGCCATAATAAGACATTGCAATAACAGAAATATCAATATAATAAATATAAATACAACTTTTTTTACAAGGAAAAATTCTTTGTTTCAGTCATTTTTTTGTTGTTCACACCATCAGCAGTTCATTAAAAAACTCAAATACTCACGTAGATGACCTTCCTTTTTAGGCTATTGCCTCCATAGTTAAATGCAAAAAATGATAAAAGCGTCCTCTGGTGTTCTTGCCACAGTCACATGATACATTTTAAATAAAAATAATAAGTTTACATGGCCAATGATTATTTAATATTAATATAATAAATATAAATACAACTTTTTTTACAAAGAAAAATTCTTTGTTTCAGTCATTTTTTCGTTGTTCACATTGTTTCGTTGTTATCATTTTTTGCATTTTACCTACAGAGGCAGTAGCCTAAAAAGGAAGGTCATCTCCATGAGTATTTGTGTTTTTTAATGAACTGCTGATGGTGCGAACAACAAAAAAATGACTGAAACAAAGAATTTTTCTTTGTAAAAAAAGTTGTATTTATATTTATTATATTAATATTAAATAATCATTGGCCATGTAAACTTATTATTTTTATTTAAAACAGAAATATCATATATATTTGGGAGGCCCTCCTTACTAACATATTAAATTCCTGCAACATCCCCACACTTAATTTGTCCCCTTTGTGGATCAATTAGTATAACTATCTAAAACAACGTATCTAGCTCCATAATTTGGAGGCGCATAGCACATGCGCAGTATAACTGCGCGTGTTTTTATTTAAAGATTGTCTTATGTTCTACTGTTGCTTCCATTCCAAAACGTTAATACGCTTGGAACGGTCAGTTATTTGTAATCAAAAAAGGAATTTAACCGTTTTTAACAACCTGAGGAAGACGAAAATAATTATCGTCGAAAGCGCTTGTCGGTCTAGCCTGCATGATGAAAGTTTTTCCTATTAAATGGTCGGCATGCTGTCCACTTCTGTATTATAGATAACTTCCATAATGAATTCTGGACAACAAGTATCCTTTTTTGATATGCTAAATCAGAAAAAGCAATGGTACAAGGTGAACACACAGCTGGTGTTCCTGCTTAGATGCAAGGTGCATGACATAGTCCCAAAGTGTATTTCTGTCAACTGGAAAGCCTTCCCTATATGTTAAAGCCATTACCCTTCCTGCAGACAAAAATGACTTTAGCTTTTTTGGAGGTGGAGAATTACTAAGTTTCCATTGTTTCAACTGCTGTTTTCTTTCTGTGTATACCAATGGACTCAAGTTTCATCAGTGGTCACAAATTGACAAATAAAATCAGTCATGTTCTTTTAAAATGACCCAAACAGTCTTGAGGAACTTGCATTTGAGTGCATTTCTGATCAATTGCTAGCAAGTGTAACTTTTATCAGCAGACAGCTTTTTCATATCTAATTCATTGATTTAGGATGTGAAATGCCCATTCATCTGAGATGTCCATGGCCTTAGCAACTTTCAATTGGCAATCCTCCAAAGCAATATCATGTACTTTATGAATGATTTCAGATGATGTTGCAATTCTTGGACATTCTCTGTGGAGTCATCTTCCAAGCTTATACACTCAAGTTTAATTCCGCAGCCAATTCTTTTACAGTTGTAAATGAAAGTGCACTATCATCCAATACATCTATCATCCAGTTGAAAATTTACATTGGCATCAAATCTTTTTAACAAAAAACTTTATCGCTGCATGTTATTTGATTTTTATCCATTTCAAACAGTACACTGAAATAGTTTTGTTTAAATTCTGATTTACAAAAAACTATTTGACACCTCCACTTGATATATCACATCTATTCATAAAACAGAAGTGACCTTAAAAAGGACTAAAATATTTGATATACAACCATCTACAGATCAGGCCATAAACTTTTCACATCATCTTCATAATAAAACTTCTATATATGTATTAAAGCTCAAATATTGATATATGAAATAAATACATTTCTGATTCATATAATATATTAGGATCATTTAAAAATATTATTAAAATTAGTTACAAATAATATTTATAAATAATTTTAATAATATATTTTACAAATTTTGAATTGTAATTTAATATATTTATATTTTTCTTTAAAGTATTCATAATAAAATTTTATCTATAAAAATTATCTTTAAATTATAATTATTCTATGTAATAAATTATGTTTGAATTTTTAAAAATTTTAATGTTGGCACAATCATTAAAATGCCTGAAAATGTAAAAATAATCAATTAATAATGTTGCAATGTTAATTATTATAGTGTAGGATCAATGAATCAAAATTTTAAGTGAACTTCAATATCTCAAAGCTCAATATTTAATGTCTGAAAGCTGAGAAAATCTGTGATATAAATGAAAACAAAGTTGTATATAATTGAATGCATGGTATAAAAATTAACTATTTTGTTTTCTTTCTCTCAGTAGCTTAGATAATTAAAACATTCCTAAATCAATGACAAATTTTATTTTTCAATTGAAACCTAACACAATTTTCCAATTGACATTTCTTGATTTTGAATGGACATGAATTACATGTTAATGTATTAAAATAACTAACCTTACGATTTGGACTTAAATTTGCGGCAGGAATTTGGAGCGTCACTTTAAATTCAGTCTGTTTCCCCATTTCTTCAGCAAGAAAATTAGCTTCTCTTACAAGACCATTTGCACGTACAATATCACATCTTAACTTTGCTAGACTCTTTTTAAATAGTTCATCCCTGTAATAGCAATCAAAAATTTTATGTGAAAAGATTAAAAACAGAATTTTATTGTATTTAATATTATATCAATTATTAACAAAATACAAGTATCAAATAATTTTTAATTAATCAAGACCCTTATTACATTAATTGAAATAAAAGAAATTTATTGATTATTAATGGTATGACAGAGAAAGAAACACATACTACCATACCATCCCCAATCATCTGTACTTCCAGGAGCTACAACACTGTCTTCATGAAGTCTGTTACAAAAAAGATAGATGTTCAGCAGCATGCAATAAAAGCAAGCCCCTTAACTAAAAGATTACTAGTTAATTATGCCAAAGTAAATAAGTAAAAGCATAAAATTATAATTTAAAAATTAAATAAAACATGTTTTTGTATTACTTCACTAATATATGTAACATGTTAAAAAATAATAGACTTAGAACATGCAATAAAATTAGTTTATATGCATGCAACCTGTTAAATTCAGTAATGTAAAGCTGAGAGAATCTTCTGCAAATACANCTAAGAGAAGAGCATTTGCTATAAACATTTGTAGGTGTTCCTGATGATAAATCATGATAACTCAAAAGTGCTTGACTGCTTGTTACTTTTAATTTTTTGTAATTTTTTTATAACTTCTCTCTCTATTGAAACATCACTTTTTATCTACAGGTTTAATTATTAAAGCTAAATTAACTATATTATAAACTATAACTTATTAATAAAAATTTTTAAAATCAGTTAATTCATTATATTCAACAGTAATTAATTTCTAGTTTTGGTATATGATGATAATTGATTTAAGAAAATCTTTTCAGTTCAGTAATTTTTAATTCCAGCAATAAATTTTAAAATAAAAGTTGCTATCCATTAAATAACAACTATAAAGCTTAGACAGAAATATTCAAAATAAAAAATTACCTTAACATGATCAAATTTGAAAGTCATTCGATCTTTTCCTTTGCGTGTGGCTGGATAATCTGGATTCACTATAGGTGGAACTACTATAGAATCAGGAAAACCCCAAAATGTGTATTGACAAAATACAAAATTGGAAAGAGATGGAGGTAATCCAGTTGCAGCCTTGATTGTCACCTAAATACATAGAAAGTTATTTATAATATTTTTAAAAAATATATTAGTTTTTGATATCTTAAAAATGACAACATTGCTGAATTCTTGCTTGCATTTGTAAACATTTCAATTTTTCTAAAGCAAAATTATTTATCACTTGTAATACATTGAAAATCTGTGTCTGTGTCGCTTGGAACTGATATATAGTATTGAATTGTTAGATGATGTCAACTCAAACAATGTAAACCTTATCTTTAATATCAATCAGATCAGTTATTGTCAAGCAAACTACTTTGCCTTAAAAACAAATCAGAAAAGAAATATTTTCTCTACATTTTATAGTAAACTCATTGTGTACCCACCCCTTATATATATATAATGATAAACTAAGATCCAATCTATTATAAAATATTTCCTATTAGAAATTTGATAAAAAAGATTTTCATTTTCCTGACTAAAATAGAAGACAGCAAAAAAATCAAATAGATGAGAAGTGTATCATGTCATTACATTTTTCCACTGATAAACATTATTATTAAAAAAAAAATAATTCTTCAAGTAGAAAAAAGTGACAAAAACAAATCTAGTATATTTTTTAAATTAAAAATTTTAGAATTAAAAACCATTATGAGCAAGCTACAAACTTTGATTACATTCGCTGTTATGATGTGATGTGGCACATGCGCGGATGCAGATCCACATTAATGGTGTGACAGTTGATGTAAATCACTGTTTAACCATTTATATAGGGCAACCCATATGTTGGACAGGTCAAGTGTGGGAGTGTTCCGAGGTTGTTGTGAGGAGAGATTCCCATATAAAAATGAGTTTCTGGTTGCTACAGCATTTGAGTAGTGTTGTTTGAGCCCATAATGGGTTGTAGCTCTGTTTTAGCACTGTTTTTTGTGAGCTCTGTGGTGTGCGTACTCAGTGAGTTTTCCTTCCTGCTAGAATTTTTTGTCATACACATGTCAAAAATTTACCTAACATATTTGTTGCCAGATGAAAATGAAAGAAAACCTTTAGAGCAAATCACTACATTTTAAAGTAGCTTACTAATATTTAAAAAAATACTTAATTAAATGCAATGTTAATTAAATTTGTATGAATGTTCATAAACCCAACAATAATGCCATTTAAAATTCTCTAAATATATTTTCCCTGGATTGAAAAAACATCTAGATGTTTAGAAATTTATATAGATGAAATATTGCACTAACAGATTTTCTTATAAGAGTCTTAATATTATGATACTTATGACATAAAAATGTATTGAATCTAATTTTAACATTTGAAATGCTAAATATATTGTGTTGTAGTCATTTCCAAAAATTTCGAATTTCAATAATTTCAAATTTTAAAGAAGCAAATATAAAATTTCATACCCTAATTGTAATTTGTCTACCAACTACAACATCTTCTCCATTCTCAGATATATCTAAGGATGAACCTCGTATACTGTCACGATCTGTGCTGTAATCTGCACTGGCATCACCAACTCGATCAGAAATTGTTCCTGCTATTCTTCCTATTTCAACATGGAGTCTTCCTGCCACCTGTAATAGAATATAATAAATTTTATTCAAATTAATTTATATGGTTAATTAATTAAATAATGATAATATTCAATTGAACATTCCCTACAGTTTAGAATCTTAATACTTAGCTTTTTAATGATATTTCAAATGGTTAAATTATTTAAAAAGTTACTTACTTCACCCTGTTGACTAATAATTGGCACATGGTAATCTAATTTTACATCATGAAATAATACTTCCAAAAACACATTTCCTACTCCAATGAGATTATGATTTTCTTGTGATTCATAGAAAGGATCTATCATTCCTTTTGGTGTATCTTCATCCTTCAGTTAAAAGTATATTTGTCAATTATAAAAATTTATGAAAAAATTCTATATTTTCTAAATTCTGAAAATTGATTCTTACTTTTGAACATAAGCCTTTCTCTTTACACTCATACATTTCTCTCATATCTATTAATTTGTTTTCTAACTTTTCCATGGACCAAACTTGACTTCCTTTATTCTTACGTTTTACTAAAATGGCTGGCTCACTTACAAATGCTCCTTTCTAAAGATAGTTTATTAAAATTTAACATTTTTTTTTAGATAAAACTGGCAATATATAATTAAAGTTTTGTTATGTTAGTGATTTGAAAAGTTTGTGGCCTGATAATGAAGTATTATATTTTTGTTTTTTATTTTTATTTTTCAATATAATCTCCCTGAACCTCAAGGTACTTTATCCAGTGCTATTCCAGTACCTTTATTCCATCCCAGAAGTGCAGTTCTTCAAGGTAATCATTTATTGCCACTTTCAACTCATAGAACTGATGAAAATTTCTTACCACCAAAGAATTTTTTAAGGTTAAGGAATAGATGAAAGTCAGAACCAAATCAAGCAAATTAAGTGGATGAAAATAAATCATACTTTAGTTCAATGATTTTTGCCATAGAAACAACTCTTGACTAGGGGGGAGTGATTATTTTAAGGAATTTTAATTTAATTATTTAAAAATTTTGGGGTACCCTTGTGACATACTTGCGGCACCCGCTTTGAGAACCACTGTTTTAGATAGTTATACAAATTGATCCACAAAGGGGGCAAATCAAGTGTGAGGGTGTTGCAGGGATTTAATATGCTGGTAAGGAGGGCCTCCCAAATATATACGATATTTCTGTTATTGCAATGTCTTATTATGGCCACCTCACATAATGTATTATTATGTCCCACAACGGGATATGTTGGTGTTGTAATACCATTCTAGCAAGCTCAGTTTCATTCCTGCCTTCCCTGATAGAACACTGATGCTCTGAAATACAACAAGGCAACATTCTAGTTGCCGCGCCAATATAATGGTGCGACCACCCAACATATTTTCTAATGGGATAGAATAAACCCCCGATCTTTCAAGAATGGAAGTAGGATCCCTGTCACTGGACAGCAACCTCCTAAGATTTGGCCGTGGGGAAACTGGCAGAAAAAAACGCTTGTCGCCTAAAAATACGGCAATTACGGAGAGTGATGTGATCACAAAATGGTATCGCGGGAAGGACTATTGTGGATTCTTTCGGGAGATGCAGTGTAGTAGCAGGAAAAAGCAATCTNATATCTCAAAGCTCAATATTTAATGTCTGAAAGCTGAGAAAATCTGTGATATAAATGAAAACAAAGTTGTATATAATTGAATGCATGGTATAAAAATTAACTATTTTGTTTTCTTTCTCTCAGTAGCTTAGATAATTAAAACATTCCTAAATCAATGACAAATTTTATTTTTCAATTGAAACCTAACACAATTTTCCAATTGACATTTCTTGATTTTGAATGGACATGAATTACATGTTAATGTATTAAAATAACTAACCTTACGATTTGGACTTAAATTTGCGGCAGGAATTTGGAGCGTCACTTTAAATTCAGTCTGTTTCCCCATTTCTTCAGCAAGAAAATTAGCTTCTCTTACAAGACCATTTGCACGTACAATATCACATCTTAACTTTGCTAGACTCTTTTTAAATAGTTCATCCCTGTAATAGCAATCAAAAATTTTATGTGAAAAGATTAAAAACAGAATTTTATTGTATTTAATATTATATCAATTATTAACAAAATACAAGTATCAAATAATTTTTAATTAATCAAGACCCTTATTACATTAATTGAAATAAAAGAAATTTATTGATTATTAATGGTATGACAGAGAAAGAAACACATACTACCATACCATCCCCAATCATCTGTACTTCCAGGAGCTACAACACTGTCTTCATGAAGTCTGTTACAAAAAAGATAGATGTTCAGCAGCATGCAATAAAAGCAAGCCCCTTAACTAAAAGATTACTAGTTAATTATGCCAAAGTAAATAAGTAAAAGCATAAAATTATAATTTAAAAATTAAATAAAACATGTTTTTGTATTACTTCACTAATATATGTAACATGTTAAAAAATAATAGACTTAGAACATGCAATAAAATTAGTTTATATGCATGCAACCTGTTAAATTCAGTAATGTAAAGCTGAGAGAATCTTCTGCAAATACAAATGGAAATAAAGTAATATAAAAAAAACATTTTGCAGTAATTAAAAAAAAAAAATTAATAATTTGTTAGCTTCATTATCATGCAAAAATTAAAAGTTTTAAAACATTAACAGGAAAGATTCAAGAAGACAGATGGAAAGTGAAATATTTCTCCCAAACACCCAAGCCTGTAGGAGTTAAAAGTAATATATGATATTATTATAAATATTCAAAGTTAATAACTACAATACAAACCTTTCTCGTGCCCATTTTTCCATTTTAGATTGCATGCTTGGACTTGGTAATCCTGTTGGAGTTAATTTTCCTAATCCCAGAGGATCAAATGCTCCCATGGAATAAGGTGCATAAGGTGTACTCGGAGACATCTGGTTCCTTAATATTTGCAACTGTCTTTCATACATCAACCTTTGTTTTTCCAATGCATCTATTATAAAGTAAAATTATAAAAATATATATTATTCAGTGAAAAAATAACATTGATTATTTGAAAAAGAATACTCAGATTTTCAAAACAGTCTAATTTATTGGAAAATACAAATGTACAATTTTCTGTCCCAAGTACTTTTGGGTTGCAAAAATCATCATCAGGCCCAAAAGTACTCAGAATAGAAAGATGCACGTTTATATTCTCCAATAAAGTAAAGTAAACTGTTTTGATATGTTTATTCTGAATGAAGTGATTAAATATATTTGGTGGATTTCTCTGTTTAATTCAATAACTGTCAATATTATAAATGGTAGTCTCTTGATAAGGACAAATATTCTATTGTCATGTATAAATTACTAAATAATATAAAACTTTATCTAAATTATAACCATCGTTTAATTAGTATAAGAAGACAATTTTAACTATTATTTGTATGATCTCAAACTAATTCACTCTTATTAAAAAATGCTAAATAATATATGCATGTATCAAGGGATAACTATAATAATTTCCATTTTACTTTTTTCTGCTTACAATATGTTAATTTAATAGATATTTTTCTATTATTCTCAAAATTTGATGTATTTTAAGTTTCCAAATATAAGCACATGCACTAAAAACTTCAATAATTTAAACCATTGAAATATGAATAAATTAATAGTTGACTGCATATATGACTAATTATAATTGTTGTTTCTTGTCATATTCAAAATAATGCAAATTAAATATTTATTAAAAATTTTGAGAGAATAAAAAAATTATGGAAATAATTTTAGCATTTAATATTAATAAATACTTGATGACTATGTTGTAACTGTTTTATAATTAAGCAGTCAAACAATATACAATACATCTTTATGAAGAATTTTAATAAATTAATATTTAATAAATAAAATAAAAAACTGTCTTTCAATATTAAATAGTTTTAATTATGTGAAGAATATGTCACAAAGATTATAAAAAATTTGAAAAATTTGTAGCCACCTGTACCTTCTATATGTTTAGATACATAAATATTTATCATTATGTTACAATCATATTACATGTACTCTATAAGAGTAGTAGACATAATGCCAAATAGGTTTATCTACGTATACTCTACAATGTTTGCTTAATGACATATTTCTCAGAATATATTTGTCATTAAATGACACATACTTGTAAGTTTTTAATCATGTGTCACTAATTACAAAAGTTTTCATTATACATTTTGCTACATACATATTCCTAGACTCAAAATAAAATCCAAAAGTAAAATTTATTCTCATTACATTTAAATTAAATCTCATAAATTTGTAATACTTTCAAATTGAATGTTGCGAACAAAAAAATTAAAAATAATTAAAACATTTTTTAATACAATCAACAAATGAATAATAATTTAAATATTCTTAAATTTATGATTCAAATCATTTATTCACTTTTAAAAAATTCCTAAATTATAAATAAATGAATGAATGAATGAATGGAAACATCTTACAACCATTAAAATAAATGAATGGAATATTATGAAAGTAAATTAATGAAAAACATTTTCTATTCATTCATAAACAATGAATCTTTAAATTATAATGGTTAACAGTCTTAAAAACTGTAAATATAACAATTTTAAAATAAAAAAAGAGTAATTAAATATTTACTATGTTTATCTTCTTCATGCTGTCTTTCAAGAACTTTCATAGCAGACTGAATAGGATCATTACTTAATTCTTTCATCATTAATTCTTCTCGAGCAAATTCATAATCAATAGGCTGATCTGGAGTTTCTGCAGCAGACGGGGCTATAAAAGGTAAAGATTTGAGTGACTTGTTTGCAAGTAATGTATTGAAGTATATAATTATTTGTTAACAGAAAGACCAAATAATCTAAATTGTTTAAATTAAAATTTATTTTGATCTGATACTCACTATTTGCTTTTGGACAATTTACACGGAAGAAGTGATTATTACCCCACAGTACTCTATAACCATGTCGTAACTGTGTTTTATCAGTGATAATGGATCCATTTACACATGTCCTAAAATTCATTTTAAATGTTTAAAAATTATTATTATTAAAATTCTAATATAAAAATTTACCAGTAATTACTATTTACAAATTTATAATACAATGTAAAACCAATTAAAATATTATAAAGATAAATTTAATTTTTAATATATTCTTATTTAAATACAAAATAGCCTACTATTAATATCATATTTGATATTTTGTATTATTTATTCATCCTATTAATAAATCCTATTAATATAAGATCTATTAATAAGAATTTATAATATATCTAAGAAAATATATTAGCTATATTTTCTTAGATAAATTTCTTTGTGTCTATAAATCATATTTTTTGAAATTACTTTTTATTCTACAGTTTTGTAAATAATTAAATATAAAGTATATATCTACATACATATTATATATAGGCATATATAAATATACATACACAAACACATTTATATAGTTCTATATATGTATGTAGGATGATTCAAAAGTCACTAGCAGATTAACAGACATTAATAAGTATCAGTTAATCTGCTTTTTTCTTCTAGAGTTATCTCCAAGGTTTAGTATACAACATTGTGATGTGAACATACACATACTTGAAAGTTTAAGTGTAATATTGATTACTCACATTATAGATAATATGCTATAAAAAGTAATTTTTTCTTATAAAATGGCAATAAATATATCAAACATACATAATCTTGTACATTTTATTTGAATTTGAATAATCCTGTGTATGTAAAAATGTATACACAATTTAATTTTATATTATTCATTCATATTTTTTTTGTTAATTAAATAAATCAAGGAATTTTGGATGTTTGCAGTGGCACATTAGGAAGCATGGCATCCCTAGCCCATAGTACCATTGCCTCAAATTTATTAGTGCCACTTTTGCATGAAATTATTCTATTTTATTATTTCAAATCAAATAATTGTATTTTTGCAGATTTTTAAAAATCAAAAGGGCAAAAGGTCACTGCTATTAAAACCCATCATTAGAACTATGACCTTGTTCATGCAAAATATACTCATGTATTAATACTATTCAGCTGAAATGTTTTATTTTGTCCCTACTTTTAATTTGCACTAATTCCTTTATGAACTGTTTCTACATAAAATTATTTTTTCACTATTTTATTATTATTATTTTTAATTTTTGCATCCCTAGGTCTAAGCCTACTGGCCAATGGGAAATCCACCACAAGCTGTTTGGTTAACTTCTTTTAACTAAAAGAGTTAAACAAAAATTATCTTACCGAGCACCTTCCATGGGTATTATGTAGATATCAGAATTTTCAATAACTATAATACAGTGTTCTGGCATAATGCCTAATCCACTGAGTTGGATATCTTGCTCAACTGGTGCATCAGGTCTACCAATTAAAGTTTTATCCTGATATTAAAAAAAATGTATATTTTAATTATACAAATCTATTGATAAAAGCACAAAATATTTGAAAAAAATACTATTATGATATTATTATAAAATAAGACTCTCTACATCAATAACTCGTGCTTGACAGCGATATTTAGTGTTCGATTTTATTTAAAGATGACATGGGGAATGCATGCGCATAAATTCCCTTTATTCAAACGCTTCATCTTACTGTTCAATTTTATATTCTCGAATGAATTTGGAAGATTTAGCTTATTTAGAATTAAGAAAACCCCAGAATAAATTATGAAAATGTTTGTTTTTTATTGCTTAGCTTCACACCAGTTATTGGTTGTAGAGAGAAGGTTGCTTATTTTATCGATATCTCAGTGTTGTATTCAGATGTGTATTATGACAATGTCACAATAATATTATTAAATATACAATAAACACAAAAAATGAATAACAGTAATTTTATTTATTTTTCATTTTTTTTAGAATTTAATAAAATATGACTTATAAGAAACTGAATGAAAGTAATGAAGCACCAGAGTAATAGCACATTTATAATCTGACAATTAGTAAATTAATTGATTCACTAAGAGAAAAGAATTTTGATTATTCACTATTTATGATTTTAAATAGTTTATTTCTTTTAGTGAATTAAAAATTTTAATTAGTCTAAGATCTGTGTGAAAAAATTGACATTTTTTCATGTAGTTTACTATCAACTTTCAATTAATCTCATTGCCAGGTTATAAATAACATAAATATGGCTGTAAATCTCTATAGAGCTCAAAAGCTTCTATTTATTATTTTGCTTTTTAGAAGCTTTATTTTTTNAAAAATATAAAAATAATAAAAAATTATACTTCAGATGTTAATTTAGTATCAAAAACGTAAAATATTTGAGTAGCCCTAGACATAGCCAAAGATTGAAGCACCACAGCACTGGCAAAAATTTAAATTTGCCGACTGGAATTCTTTCGGATGATTGACTTTCGGAAAATCGACACTCTACTGTAATTCTAAATTTTACAGACTGTTTGGGATGGTCACACACACTCATGCTCAGTGTACACTTTTTAGATAGGGAAATTCAATATCACTATCAAAAATGGTTTTCTTTTTTTTCTTTTTGTCAAATTTTGTACATGCAATGTAGACAAAATGTAAGTAACATTTAAGTTATTGTTTTGTCTAACATCTTACAATGAAAAAAAAAACAACCTTTGTACTACTGTTAATGTTTACATAAGGTTTGTTTCTTTATATTAGAGACAATTTATTTTCAATAAGAAGAAAATATTTATTTATTTTTTTAAATAAATGTTTGCTTCTTATTGCTTTTGTTTTGTTTATTATACTTGAAACATCCTGTTATAACATATCAGTAAATCAAAAATAAATAATTCTTATGGGATAACAGAAAAACCATATTATTATGTGGAGCAGCACACATCCCACAGTACTCTTAGTGTCAATTGTAGAGTGGTACTCATCTAAAATTAAAACTTAATTTTATTTAAAAATTTGAATAATCAAGGAATTTTAAAGATAAAAGAAAAAGCAAAAAGACTTCAACTTCATATATTGTTTGTTAACCAGATAAAGAGACTTGTGTTGTTATTCTGAATTTTTAAACTAATAATGTCAAACAAAAGTTCAATATTATTCCTAACATATGCATTAATTTATAGATAAAATACTTCGGTTCAAAGGTAAGTGTAAATTGAAGCATTTCATCTTTAAAGGTAAAAATGACTACTAGCATTTCTATTAAACTAAGATATCTTATCTTGTTATCTTAAGTATATATACAGTAGATATAATTAAAATAGGAGTTCAACTTTTTTCATGATTCTTCTGAGTTTAATTTTCTTTCATAAATGGACATCTAATGTATGTATGTATATATATATACTATAAATCTTAGTATATATATACTAAGATTTATAGTTTGGATATTATTTGTTTATAATAAAGAATTGAAACCTTGATTATATATTTTAATTTTAATAATGCTATTAAAACAGTATTAAAGAATATGAATAACATTTTTTAAATATTTTTTGTGGAAATATAATCAAATATTTATAAAAAAATTACATTATTATTGGTCTATAAGGCTAAAATTTCAGAATTAAATGAAACAAAAAAATTATTTTCTTAACTAAGCTTTAACTATTTCTTCTTAAAAGTATCAAAAGAACTAAAACTATATTTTAAATAATTACCTTTAAATAATATACAAGAAGTTCATTCAGTGATGGATCTGCATTTAAATTAACCAAGTAATATTTATCTTTTTCCACTTTAATTCCTGAAGCTTGAACTGAAATTCCCATCTTTTCTAAGGCTTGTTGCCTTTCCTAAAATTCATTTTTAAATTTGTTAAAAACAAGATTCATAAATGAAATTATATTTAGTAACGGAAACACACCTGATGTATGATTTCAGTTCTATGCAACTTCTCTTCCCAAGTTTGTGACATTTCTTTCATTAATTTTTCAGATTCAACAAGACGTTCACTGATATCTTCTTGTTGCTAGAAGATATTTATTAATATAAACAATTTAATATATTTTGAATACTTTTTAGTATTATAACAGAACCACTTACTGTTGCATGTTTCAATTGATCACGTAACATTTCTACTTCCTTTCTTAATTCGCGAATAATACGAGCATTTGGATCTTCATTGACAACAGCATGATTGACAATACGTTTAGCACGATCTGCATAACGTAATGTTGAGAGGGTTTCTTCATAATTATCAGCTGCAGGACTTATTGTTGCAACCATCACAGTTTTACTATTACCACCAAGATTGTCCTGAAATTTGTGTGTTATATTTATGCATAAATTATTAAACATTATATATAATTAAATAAACAAAACAATTTACCTTTAGTAGCCATGTTAATACAGAATCTCTGTAAGGTACAAATTTATCTTTGGCCTTTCCTGAGGCTTGATCTGCTAATTTTGATATTACAAGACCAAGAGTTGTAAGTGATCTGTAAAAAAAAATATTTATTTATTAATTTAATTATTTATTAACCTGGATGAGTAGTATAGGATGTAAACCACCTCATGCAAAGTATTGTTTTTTTAATTTTTTTCACATTGTTTTTCTTGAAAAATTGCTACTAGATAAGAAAAGTAAGGAAGAAATTTTCCTATCTAGCAACAATAAACAAGTAGCAAATGTTACATGCACATGGAATAATTTCATTTAGTGATCTGAGCTTGTTTGTATGTATCATACCCCACAATCTTTGTGTATAAATTTAAAAAAAATATTTTTAATTTTTAATATTTTTTCAATTAGTAAGTAAAAATAATAGCAAAGAGGTATATTTGTATTGATAATAAAAAGGCAACAAATGATTTGCTTTGACAGATTGAAGAAGGCACTTCAGTTCCCTCAACAGATGGGAAAAATAATTAATCTGTGCCCCAGTGAGAGAGATCACAAAACAAAAATGGTATGTATGAAATGCAAGCATAATAGCTGTAATGATCACAGCATTATTATATGCAGATTACAATGGAAATTAAAAAAACTGATGGCAAAATATAAATATTAAAGTATTATTTCATTGTTTTAGAATTGAATAAATTTTTGTTCTTTGTTATCTATTTCTCATGTTTTGTAGATAAAACAGTTTATAAGTATCATAAAACAGAAAAAAAATTTGCTTAGATTAAAAATAAAAGCACAAATTCACATGGAGTGAATGACACACCCCATTCTACATGTGTTTTTTCCACATTTCTTTCATTGTTTCACTGAAAATCTTCATTTTTTGAGAGTTTTTTTGTATATCTAATAAATAGCCAAAGCCATAGATGCAATAAATAATACAGTAGAGCATCGATTTTCCGAATCAATTGGGGATTGGGGTTGTCCGGATAACTGATTTACGTACGAAAAAATAGTTTAACGTATCCAATGTCGAAATTTTTCTCCGTTGCGTGTCGCTTTGCGTTGAATTTTCGTCGATGTTAAGCCTAACAAAGNTATTGATATGGAATTTCTTTCAATACTTATTCTTTAATATTTAATTAAAAATTCGGTAATGCTGTAATGAACAAGAAATTACCACCCCAAGCAAAACTGATTAAAAATAAAAAATATGCAAGTATAAAAAGTTAAAAATGTTAAAATATTAACATAAAAATATGTAAAACTTAAAAAAAAACATACAATCTCTTTTTATAAAATTGCTTAAAAATTGCATGATCGAAGTGAAGTGTGTTCTTGAGCTCATTCATCAAGTGACTAGTGCAAACAAAACAAGAATGTTGTGTAATGCATAGTCAATGAATGGCCTTTGAATACAAACCTAAAAATGGATTTAACAGTTTTGGTCAAGATCAACAATTATTTTCTGATTCAACAATTATTGATAAGCACTAGTTGTAATTTTCCATTATATTTCTAACAATAAAATAAAATTATTAAACTTTTAATGAAAAGAAAATCAAATTTAGACTTAGTAATTATCTTATAAATCTAATTTAAAACTTTTAAAATTATAAATAATGTTGAATGTTTTGAATGTCAAAAGCACAGGTATCATCCATCATACTAATAGAATTGTTGAAACCATTCATTAATTTTACAGTTAATGAATATTTTAATCAACTCACTATATTAATGAAAGCATTTATTTAAAAAAATCAAGTATGATGTATGTGTTAATTTTTGTCTAAAAGGGAAAGTTTAAGATCATTTATTAGTATTTTATCTTTGCAATTAAACCAAACAGACAGCTTTATATCTGAAAAATATTTATAATTAATGATAAATACAGTTACCACTCATTTATTCTAATTACACACTTGAATTAACACTTAGTTTATAAATTAAGTATGCTTTATTAAAGAAAGAAGTAAATGATTATAAAAGCATTCATTAATTTAAAAATTTATTTTATGAAATATGTCTTTAGTACTAAAGTTTCAATTTTAAGATCTGTTTTAATAAAATACAAACAGGTTGATTTGACAAATAAAAATATATGAGCATCTTCCTCAACGAAAGATCTTAATTAAGAGATACATTTAATCATAGGTGTCTGCAGAGGGAGATAAATGAGGCACTTGCCCTGAGATTAAGTAAAAAATTCCACAAATTATAGTCATAAAAGTGATTGAGATACGTAACTTTACACCCTCAAACATGGGATAGGGTTTGACATTTTGTATTGATAAAATACTATATTCTATAATCTACTTGTTTAAAAAAATTCAAAGAATTAAATAATTAAATAAAAATTTATTGATGTGATCATTTGACTCCAAGTTTTGCCAGACCCTGTAAAATTTTCTGAGGATGCCCATGCATTCAATATTACAAGAAAAAAGTTTTAAAATAAGCACTTTAAATTTTTTATTTAAGGCTTTTTAAGATTAAAACATGCAGTTAATTGAAATTAAGAACTACTGTATTTATGCAGGTATTTTTTGTACTTTTTTGCCATTTCTTACAAATCAAAAGTCAATATATGAAAAATATGTGAATTATTTTCAAAGATAGATTATATCAGTATTTAGTCACTTTTTATTCAACCTTTGGCACAATGTAGGTCTATGTAGAGAAAAACATTTCCTCTTCATAAATCTTCTGACCCATCCTTGACTAGCCTTAAACTTGAGGGAAGAAATATTTTATGTCTGAGCAACACTGTGACACCATGATTGCAACATATCGCGTGTTATAGCACAGCTGTCATTGTGTTTCTTCAATACACTGTAACAGTTCTTCCTGAAGTTGGGGATACTTGGGACCACAAAATATGCCCATATTAGATCTTTCATTGCTTAGAGTTTCTTTTTTGTTTACACTAATAGCCTGCCTCACTGACACTGAATTTTCATTCGGCATCTCAATTTCTGTTCTGTTTCCAAAGCATATTAATTTTATACTATGCAGTAAAACTTATTTTTTCTTTCCATCTCACAATGTTTCAACTAACTCTACTCTGTATGACATTATGGAACCTACTAAAGTGATATAAAGCATCACAATTAACAACTGTCCTTATTCCCCACCCTCAAAGTCTCCAGCAAGTACAAAGATACCATACTGTTAAGCCTATACAAGGGAAATGATGGTTAACAAAATGCCTAATTACCATAAAAATTCTTGTTGGCTAACTCATGTCCTATCTGTCTCCTACACTAAACGATTCAGTATAAGAAGTCATTTTTCACATGAAAAATACTTAAATATTTTGATTTCTGTAAAAACATTTCTTAGAAATACAGTATGTAAAAATTTTCTATCATTAGTTCTGTGTTAATATATATTTACTTATTTGTTGTACATAATTTACATTCTAATGAGCAATTATTTTATTTTGACATTGTCATAATGCATTTAAGTTTAGTAGTATCTTGCCCCTGTATATCATACTTTTCCATTAGCAATGAAGTCATGCCAGTCATCTATCTAAATCCGTTCAGGAGAAAATTTCTGAATTGAAATAACATGAAACTTTTGACCAAAAGTGGAAGTTCGTATACAGTTAATTGGGGCCTCTTGTCCCTAAGGTTTCCATATCTAGTTTTGACTTTCATCTACTTTACACCATTCTCAAGATTAAGGAAGGACAGACTGACAGACAGATGGATGGACAGCAGTGGAAATTTATAGGTCTACAATTTTTTCAAATTGCAGCCCAATGACTATTCTTACATATGGATCTTAATTTCAATTTAAAATCTATTCGATTAACTGTATTTTCCAATCTGTAATGAAGTTTTAATCTGAAAAATCCTTTTAAAAAAGTGAAAGTGCTTATTTTAAAACTTTTTAATCCTTTTTTTATTTTTGTATCATCAATAAAACTGTATATTCCTTGATTAGGATAATTTGAAAAATATCCAGTTTTGAAAGTACTCAATTGTTGTCAAGGTAAAAATAATAATAATTTTTCACTTTTGCACAACAAAACAAAGAAACAAAGATAATATATGTGTTTTAATTTTAGAAATTTTTTTTGGATATTTGAAAACTTGAAATAGTAATATAATAAATAATAAAGTAAATGTTTACTCAAACAACTATACCTAATAGATTTTTAAAAAATTACTATATCTTATTCAGTTGGACATTTATCTTTATTTATTGAAAGAGGAACTATTAACTGTATAGGTTATAAATTGTAAACATCTATTAATAGTATTTTATGATGCACAACTTTTGAATAAGTGTTGAACATATATCACTTTAAAAACAACAATCTTTATACTTCATATTTCACTTGTAAAAAGTCATTAATATATATATAGAACTACTGTATATAAGATATTGTCTTTATTATATTAGGTGATCCACAGTATTTCTCTAAAAAGTAGGCCATTCTTAATCAATAAAGTAGAACATAATTTATGGATAATTCTATTTTTTGCCTCATAACAGAATGACCATTTATTCTGAAGATACATTGTCCTTAATTTAAACATTGTACAGGATTTGTTCTGTCTTATTTTATAATTTCTGTACTTTTAATAATTGCATTCCATTCATATAAATAACATCAATAAAATATTTGTTTACTGATGAAGAAATAATGAAAATTTATATAGCAAAGAGTTTAATCATCAGGAAATATATTATATTAATTTAAATTAATAACAACAATAATTAAAATTTATTTTTATATTCAAATTTAATATTAGCGATTAAATTTAATTATTAATATGATAGATTTAGAAAAATCTTTTGTTTAAGTAATAACACTATAAAAAGAAAGGTAAAATAAAAATTGTAAGTTTATTATCTAAGTTACTAATTAAAATTATTGTTTTAAACCTTTGCTTTTTTTTTGTTTTTTGCTTGAAATAGTATCATTTCCTTTTGATCACTGAAATATCTCAATATTTTTATATATTCATTTTAAGAAACTTGTCTTTAATACAAACAGCATAAGGAAACAAAAGTAAGGAAGCATTAATGAAATTATTCATAAGTAAAAATTTATTTCAATTCATTTTAAGTATTTGA